TTTGATCAGAACTTGACATTTTTATTATACTAATCTTTTTTTATATTTTAAATAAATAATACGTTTGTTTAATACTGTTAAAAATATAGAAACTGTTTTCTAGTATAATTAAAAAAAATTTATATTAAGAGATGTGGAGTAGCAACGCAAACATGCCCAACACAATAATAAAATATCTTTATACATATAATGTATATGTATATGTATTATTGTATGTATAATGTATTATGTACGAGGAGAAGTCACAAATGGATGTAGGATAGCTGTAAATGGAATAAAATAGTTTCTGATTGTGGCATTGGTTTCTGACATAATCCAACAATCAATAATTATTTGTATATATATTTAATGACTTTCTTTTGTATTTATATATTAATATTAATAAGCTGATAATATATTAAAAATACAATATGTTTCGACGATAATAGTATATCCTTATTAATTATCAATATTTGCTAATATTACTAAAATTTGCATGCAATTTAATGGAATATTTTCCATGTTGCATAGATTTTGCATTGCACATCGTTGAATATCATGCTACTATAAATTCGTTCTACTACAAATCGCGACTTGTTTGTCTCGTTTTGTGGACGATCTAATTATATCAGTACATATTGACCATATATTTCCTTGAGCAGAACAAATCGATCGCATGTCATCTGTATGCTGGCATTGAACGATTCTCCTCATATCGACAATGCCGTTTCGTTCATCCTCGTAGTTAGATCGTGATCCTGCTTGCGAAATCATATGATTTCTTGCCGCGCGTGATCTGTGTATGTGTGTTTGAGCTAGATCTCTAAAATTCTATATCGATACAAGTAATATAATACTGATTGTATCGAAGAGATGATAATTATATATATGTATATATATCGTCTTATATAAATACTATTAAGAGACAACCTGTGAATTAGAAGCAATTTTTCTGCATATCATCTTGTTTCTTTGGTAAAAATAGTTATACAAAAGGTAAGAAAAGTGACAATTTGCGCATGAAATAAAAATTTTATTTTACGCAGGCTTTAAAATGATATCCTCTCTCTCTCTCTCTCTCTTTCTTTGTAAGTAATTAATAAAAGTATAGAAAAGAAAATACATTATAATCAAATTAATTTAGCTTGTATAATTTTAACATTAACGGAACATTCTTAAATTTTAATTGAAAAGTTATCATTTTAGTAAATATTTATTTCCTAAATCAAGTTATATAAAACTTGGTGATATTATATAATAAGTATAGAATGCGAGTCTAGAATATAAAAAAAATCAAATTTATTACTTGATATAAAAAGATTCTGAGCGCTTAAAAGTAACAGTTTTCAATGTTAAAAATTTATCATATATTGACGGAAAACAAAATGACATAAAGCTTATATATAGCAACTATTTACATTAACTTTCCGAGGATTTTAATCTTGATATATATTGCAAAAGGAAGGGTACTAATAAAGATGTGCTTACGTCTTGATTGTCTAATATAGTTTTTGAGATGTAAATGTTAAAACTTCGTTTATTTTAAGCTTTTGTTTCAATTACTATTAAATTTGTTTATTGTTAGCCGTAGAGCTTTATCCGCGCTTTTTATTATCATATATCTTTACGAATTTCTCAGCATCGTCGACGACAAAGAGAAGTTGACAGATTATTTAATTAAGCATTATGTTATTCGTTATTATGTTATAATACTATAAATTGTCTACTTTGTAAGTAATTTCTATGTAATTTAGTGTTTTATTAACGCGTGACTTCAACAATTTAATTTTTTATTGTTATTTTATGCGATATATACATAATTTAATATGGAAAAAAGGCAAGGAGATACGTTTAAGGAGATACGTTTAATATCGATTGCTGAAAAAGGGAAAGAACACAAAGTGAAAGTCGACTATAGAAAATTACACTCGACGAAAATAAGTTCTTCTGGAAAGGAGAAGAAGGTTTAAAGGAGCAAAATTTTTGGAGCGGATAGAGCTCTGTGGGCTTATAATTAGTGAGCAAACGGAGAGAAGAAAAGCCCGTACGATCACTTTTCCGAAGTCCGTGAGAATGAACCGCGGGAGAGCGGGACAAAGGAAAGAAGTTAGATAATTTAGAGACGAGCAAGATGCAAAAACACCCAACAGGCAAATATGCAAGAAAAAATGAGAGACAAAAATAAAAATTTAAAAATAAGAAAAAATAAAATAGGTTTTTGGAATGTTGCAGGACTAAATAATAAAGATGCTCAATCTTGAGATTATGTCAAGAAGTTTGATATATGTAATTGAAATGTAACTGGAAACTTGAAATGTAATTCGCATAGTGGCTTAAAAAATAAAAGCCTAACCTCGACCAAATTCCGATTATTTATTGTATATTGGTCTGAGAACTGAATTTTTTTAATCTTTATGAATAATAAAGATAACGACGATGTCGCTATCATTACGTGTTGTTGCGCATATATATACAATAGTTTTTGAATTATAAATGATCAAAGTTTACTAATGATATTACGTAAAATTCGCGTGTTTAGGCTCGTAACTACACTTAGGCACGTACCGATCTATCATCTGTTATTGATTTTTACAAGACAGGTAATAAATAAATTTATTTCCACAAATACACACACTTCTCTAATCAAAATCAAAATAAACTTTGTTTCTTAAATATATGAAAATATTATTAGATTTATAATTCTATTTAAATGTAATAATTCTATATATATAATAAAATATATGCGCAAATTAACATACCATTTAAAAAAACTTTTATACTTTTTTTGAATTTCTATTTAAATGTAATAATATATTAATTTATCAATAAAATTATTATTTAAGAAAGAACTAAATATTTTGCATATAACTGAGCACGCGAGTTCTACGGAATAATATTGTCAAACTTTGATCGTTTAAATTTATAATTAAAAAATTATTGCAGAATAAACATTTTTGTGTTAGGATTTTTGACTTTATTCTATCTCTAGAATATCTTATTAAAGTATTGTACGAAAGTGGGACACCCTGTATATACAAAATTTTAATAAAAATCTTTTGCGAATTGGGTTGCGTTTTTTGAGAATAAGAGGTCTTGAAAATCTCGGTATTAGTAAGAACTATTGTTTAAAGAAATAGTTTTTGGTTAACTTATTGTTAATTTGATCGGAAAGCGGATATCGCATAAGAGTAGTCTATCAGGCGAATATATACGGTATTATGTTACTATTTATTTTTATTGAAACGCGTTATTATCTCTCCAATTTATTATCTTTGTCTCTGTTAAAGAGTAGCAATGTAATTGTTTTGACAGCTATCCAAACAAATCTTTGCTTTTTGCAGACAATGTATTCATCGGTCACCGAGAAGCAACAAGTGCTGATGCTACTTCTAATCGAGATTATTTTAATCGTGTTAATTGGGTCAATGATGACGTATGGCCCGGAAGCAAATTATAATTTGCTGAAAAATCATACTGGTCAGTGTACAATACACATACATATACACACGTGTAGCTTAACCAGTAAGCAAAATGTGCGCAGAATGTCAGCAGATTAGCAAGCTATACTCAGTAGCTAGCGAATTGCCATCAGTCATCCTTATTAGGCTTTTAATCTGCCGACAGAACCTGTTCGCATTATCTGACAAGAGATTGATGGTAAAAACCGAACAGAGTCTGCAGCTTCTAGTCATTTAAAATTTAAATAGAATAGTAACGTAAATCGGTATTTATGAAAGCATTTAATTTCAATAAACGCAATTATAACTCAGATAGCAAAATGCCGGCAGTATGACAGCAGATTCAATAATGACCTCACACCAGATTTCTATCCATTACGTTCGTAATTGTTTACTTCTTAAAAGCATAAGCTGCTGGCATAGTGTGAAAGCAAAAATGCAACAAAAATCGAGCATTATCGGTTGCCATGATATGGCAGCAAATATGCAGCAAATATCGAGCAGAGTCTGCCGTATCCAAAAAATAATTTAATTTTGTAAAAGAACCGAGTTTTATATATATATATATATATTATTACTATTAATCAAGTGACAGACTATGTGTATTCGTTATTTGCAATGTACGATTTGCGATTCGTGAATTTGTAGTATAAAAAAATCTGATTGGTCGAATTTAATGAATTTTTAATTTACCCTATTCACAAATTATAAATAAATCGCGAATACGCGCATAATTTAGCTAGCATTGCTAGTTGCAAAGTAAAGAATGCAGTGGTTACAAATTAACAGACTTTGAAATATCCATCAATCTTAATATACTATTGTTGTATCCGAAATAAATATTAATTAAACTTGCAGGTACCATCGACAAAAATAAGCAAACGAAGAAACCGGACGAAGATTCATTGCGTATTTATCCGAGTAAGTATATCAAAATGCGATCATTTAATTACTTATTAAAAATCTTTAATTATTTTAATTATAAATTGATAAGACACATAATGAATTGATTATTTACACATTGTGATTTCATATTTGTTTTTAAATAGCAATTATAATTATTTAACAATTTGCTTAATAATTTTTTATTGTTTAAATTTTTATTTGTTGCATACGTAAATATTTTTTTTTGTATAATTAACAGTTGTTTTTTTAGAAAAATATTTATGTATATAAATATTTTTATATAAAATTTTAAGGTTTTATATATATATATATATATAAGTACTTATCTTTTTATATACTATATAATATTAAATATATATATAAAAAGTCAATATTATTAATCAATAAGCATATTATTTAATGAATCTATTGCTTATCTTTTAATCTTTTATTTTCGCTTTTTTTGACATGTGTCAAACGCGGATACATTAACTGAAAAAGGGTATTGTCGTGTTTTTTTTTGCATAATCAACAGTTATACATAATGTGCGAATATTTAGTGATGGAGCACGCGTGTCGGATATGCCCTGATATGCATACAAGTTCATGTGAGAAGGCATATCTGTCCTCGTTACATTATGTATATATGCAATCAGAAGCATCTATCTTTATTGTTGCTTGGTAATATGGAATATGGTATAGAACAAGCTATGTATTGTCAAATACTACACAATACAATCGCGGCCCATTTAGCACGGTCTACAATTTCTCAAAAATGTGATTTTTAAAAGTCCAATAATATTATTATATATGAATAAATCCAGTATATATATATTAAACACTCTTTACTTTTTATGTTAATAAAAATTCAAAATTTATAAAATTAGTCGTGTAGAGTATTTTGAAAAACATTATATTTCCAAAAATTGAAATGCATAGATATAAAGAATATTAGAAGTTATACATCTTTGTCTGAAACATTTTTTTATATACTTCATAATTTCAATGAAATTAAAAAGTGCTTTGGGCAAAAGATATATGGCTCTTAATATTCTTTATATCTATGCATTTCATATTACAGTATAAAAAATTATTCGTTCAAAATCATGTATACATAGGTATATATGTATATATATACAATATATAGAGTTATCTTCGAGGGGTTATTTTGTTTCAATTCTTAAATGAGAAAGCACTTATAAAGAAATACGTCTCTCATTTTGAGCTGCTAAATAACATATCCAAACCGCATCAAAATCGAAGAGGGACACTTTCATATGTTTAATCGTTAATAAAAAAAAAAAACTTCAAGAGGAATATGCTTGTAACTTTTTACGTGACTCAACGTAATGGATATTTTTGTCCGTTTCAGATACCAATATATACGTCAATCGCACAAAAGAAATATAGAAGTAAAAAGAACATGCTAATACATGAATGACAGAGTTGCCTCCCAATATCTTGACCTTTTCTTATTTTGAGATCGCTGATCGGTATCATGCATTTAAAAGATTCACTCGTGTTAGTCATCAGAGACAGTTCATCTTCGCATTTGTCGGCGAATGTTACCGTTTCGATCAACAGTTTAACTTCGGAAGTTAAATAAATTTTTTAGTAAACTCGGTATAAGTTCAGCCACGTGATCTCCGTTTAGTTTAGAATTAAAAATTATAATTCATTATAATTATTTAAAATAAAGTTTGTGTGTTTTAATTATTAGATTAATGCAAGATATTTGTAAATCGAATTCTATTTTAAACATAAATAAAATTAAATTCTTTCCGAGAAAAATTTTTTAAAATGTTTTTGTAAAAAATGTGTAGCAACTGAAAATTTCTAAATTTATTTATTTATCCCTCTAAAGTTTTATTGTACGTACATTTCTATTTAACTACATTAATAAACTACATATAAATAATTAAAAAAATATATATTTTTATTTTAAATTTATTTTTTGCATCTCTTGTATAAAAGAACATCTGTTGCGTTATAATGCTATAAAATAAAGATACTTTTATTATGTACTTACAATTTTTTAAACAAATTATATACATATATATATATACAATTATATATATTATACAAATTAATATTGTAATAATTTTGGCACCAATTAAAAATTCCTGAATTTATTTACCTATGTACGTGTATAATATATATTACATTATAGTTTTATCAAAATCAAAATTTTGGCGAAGTTTCCTTGTCAATTTAATCTACACAATTAAATGGTTAAGTTTATTGTAAGATGAAATATTTTCTCCATCTTGGATCGGGCAATTTCACATTAAGCTTATTGTGTTAATGCCCGGAAATTAATGTTTGATTTAAACTAAAACACGCGACAAATCGAATACTCAAGAGTATATTATGCATAAAAAGAATCATCATAAACTTTGAAAACGACAATAATCTTGGAGAAATCACATTGATCGAGCATATTTCCTACACGGTACGACGGACAATACGTTTGTTTTGCATATAATGTTTTGTTCGTGTGGAACCAGCATATTTCACACGAGGCAGTGCGATGGCATGACGCAAGCAATTATACTGTTGTTTATCGAGGGCTTTTTACTGTGCGCTTTTTTGTCTATATACGATTACGCCCCAGAGGCGGATGCCAGCAAAGAGCAGAATAGCGTCGCACCTTATTTGAATGGAGAATCGAATTTTCTGCCGGTCACGTACACATGTAAGTCTGAAATCTTTTCAAAAACAAAGGGCCTGTAAAAAAAGGATTAAGTTTAAAAAGCGATTATGTCGAAAAATTAATAGTGTGAAGAAAAAAGATAGTGTGAAGATGTCTACAAAGTCCAAGAAATAAAATAATACACCTGAATAAATCGTAAACAATACGTGTTCGGAAATAATTTTTTAAATAAAAGTTGTGGGATATATAGGGATCTGGATATTATGTCATCACATCATCCCATCATTTCATACTTCGGTATACATCTATCTTATTCAACTTTTTGGAATGGAGCTCTCTCTAATTAATCTCTCTTAATCAATTTTTATATAAGTCGATTCCTCGCAATGTTTGGCGTAAAAAGTTATAAGAGTAGGATGGTAAAAAATGTTATAGTTATGAGATATTCTATACTCTTTAATTTGACATAATTTTATATAAGCTGTAAAATTTCTCGTAAATTATTCATTTTTTGATTATTTTACCTCAATATTTTTATGCATAAAATAATGAGAGAAATCATTTAGAGTAAAAAGAACTTATAGTTGTTTTTAAGAAAAAATATGAATTAGCAACGCCCAAGTATATATTTTTTGTATCTTTTAACTCATTGGCAGTGAGAATGTGCAAGCGACGTGCGTAAATCGATGAATCGATCTATAATCATAAACATATTCTTTGTCATTTTACCGCTAAATAATTGTAATAATTGCAAACAATATGTCATTAACATTCAGTTAATAGCTTATGATTATGAAACAAAATAAACATGAAACAAACAAGCATAATACACTAAATATATAAATTATATACGTTTATAAAAAACTCTTTCTGTATTTGTTCTTATCTAAACTTGCTAAAATGATACAGTGTATCAAGATGTCCACGTGATGATTTGGATCGGCTTTGGCTTTCTAATGACATTCCTCAAGCGATACAGTCAGAGCGCTGTAGGTCTGACCTTCCTTGTTGGTGCGATACTGGTTCAAGTGGCTCTAATTTGCAACGGCGTGACGCAAGTGAAATTGGGTAACAAAGCTCATCTCTCTTTAGAAAGGTCAGTATTTATATTTTAATCCATGTCAAATATTTAAGTAAAATCAAATAAAATATAGTAGGTAGATATCAGATAAATATAAAGAGGTAAAATATTTTAATTAAGTTGTTCTTACAAATATAAAAAAATAAAGTATTTTTATTAATTTATGATATTGATCATTAATGTTAATAATGCAATTGTTATTAAACATTTTTTCATCATATATTTTTTCTTCATGCAAAATTTTTTAGCCTTCTTAATGCCGACGTCGCTGTTGCTGCGCCGCTCATTTCTATGGGTGCAATCCTGGGTAAGGTGACCTACATGCAATTGATATTTATGGGAATAGTGGAACTGATCATGTTTACCATTAACATGTACATAGGCGAGCATTTATTTATGGTAAGTTTATCTCTAATGCCATTTGCAACTATTTAGAAAAACATACACCATTCTTTGTTGAGATATTGTTTCTCGCTTTTTTAATGTTCTTTTTTGGTAAAAATATAATTTATCGTAAATAATAGTATTTATATAAAAGTTAAATATTATTAAGAATTCCAATTAATTCTTTTTAAAATGGAACGATCCTAATTTGTTTATATAAATCAATTTCTCGCAATATTTGGCGTAAAAAGTTATGAAAAATGGGCAAAAATTTAATAGTTTATGAGATATTTTATACTTTAATTTTACATTGATTATGAAATATCTCGTACAATATTCACTTTTACATTTTCTTATCAATACTGTCAAAAAATAATGAAAAAAATCAATCGATATAAAGAAAACATATAGTTGTTTTAAAGAAAAAATATATATATTTTTTATAGGTCGTCGATGCTGGTGGTAGCATGTTTGTTCACGTGTTTGGCGCATATTTTGGATTAGCTATCAGCTTTGTATTTGGACTGAAGGAACGACCAAAAGAACATGAACTTGAAGGATCGTCTTATCAATCAGATATATTCGCCATGATCGGCACGTTCTATTTAATCAATAATATTAACTATTACATCAATCTAAACTATTTAATGTCTTAATATTTTTTATATTTTCTATGAAAGCTTTATAATTTTGAAATTATGCAAATTTACTGGCATTTACTGGCACTGTTTCTATATGAATACAGAGTGTCCGAAATAAAATAATACATCTGAATAATTCATAAACAATAGGTGTTAGGAAATAATTGTTCAAATAAAAATTATGGGACATGTAGGGGGCAAGCTAGATATGCTGTCATTACCATCTCACCACTTCATATTTCGACGTACATCTATGCAAATTAGTTTTTTTAATAAGTTCTTTTTTGGAATCACCCTAATTTTTTTATATAAATCGATTCTTCGCAATATTTGGTGTAAAAAATTATAAGAATAGGATAGCCAAAAATTTAATTAATTTACTTTAGTTTGACATATTTCTTCCTCATGCAAAACTATGAAGTATCTCGTAAAATATTAAGCTTTCAGTTTTCATTCAGATTATCTTATTTCAATACTTTTAATAGTCGATAATTATTTTTTAGGCACGATGTTCTTATGGCTATTCTGGCCGTCATTTAACAGTGCGGCATTGAAAGGAGATGATCAACAGCGGGCTATAATCAACACTTTGCTATCGATATCTGCTAGCTGTGTAATCACATTCGGCGTATCCGCATTGGTTTCCAAAGAAAAATTCAACATGGTGCATGTGCAAAATTCGACTTTGGCCGGCGGCGTAGCCATCGGTACAGCTGCAGGTATGCCAATCGATTAGAGATGATTATCAACAAATCATCTAATTATCTTTTGTTTAATTATACACATATTGTCTAATAAACAATTATATGCTAGACTAGACCAAAAAATTATATTTAGTTAATATATAAATACATGATATTATTTATTTTATTTGTTTTTTTTTTATATATGTCATATATTTTAATAAGAAATTCAAATGGTTTTGGGCAAAAGATTATTATAAAACACTTGTTCAAATAACAAATGCAATATCTTTTATTATGCTATCTTGTTTTTTAGGAATTAAACATGTTTTTCTCTAATCTGAATTTTATCAATGGACACAGGTATGATGTGCGAACCAGTGGGTGCTCTGGTTATCGGCGCTTTATCCGGCGCAATTAGCGTACTGGGATACAAATATCTTACAGTAATTATAATCATCAACAATTATTTTTATTAATTAATTAATGATATTATGCTTTTAGAAACTTTGTTTTTTAAAATATATATATTTTATAGATTTCTTTTTATATAAATATATTATAATTATATTAAAATATACATATACGCACAAATACTCTCTCAAATAAATACACAGTCATATATAGCATTTTATATTGTGTCTATATGTGTATGTGTGATATTTTCTATTATGATTCTCAAATCTTTTTTTTCTGATATAAATCTTTTATGTATCACATTTCGTTTCTTTTTCCTATTTTTTTTCCGGTTTTTAAGTATTTTGAATCTCATTCTATATATTAATTTTTTAAATGCTTTTTACAGCCAATCATACAAAGACGACTTCACATACATGACACTTGTGGGGTACATAATTTGCATGGGATGCCAGGCGTGCTCGCTGCAATTTTCGGCGCGCTTATGGCAGGCTTGGCTTCAGAAACTTCTTACGGTTACGCTTTATATGAGGTACGTAATTTTATTGTCACGAAGTAATCATTCAATGTTTAGTGATTTTTTCTAATTAATTTCTATTTACTCATTGACATGTGGAATAGTAAAGTTTAGTGAATATATCTCATCTAATTTGACTATTACAATATCTCCATTGTTATTGATATCGAAAATATGGAGAATACGGAAAAAATATTAAAAAATTATAGTATGAAAAAGAAAAATTGTTATATGTAAGACAAATCATATAATATGTTGTAACTATCCTCAATTCGTCTTTTTGTTAACAACAAAGTTTTATGTTATTAATTTATTTACAGATTAATTTTTTTTATTAAAATATGTATATTTGTATAAATATGCACGATTTAATAGCAAATTATTTAAAACTAATAAGAATTTCTTTGCTAGATATTCTTTATTAAATGTTAAATTGTATTTTATAATTATAGTTTTTAATTATGTTGGTGAATAGATATTTCCCGCGCGAGCGCCGAGTTCGGAGAAAAAAATTAGCGAGATGAGGGACAATTACGGTATATCACCGGGATTTAATAGAACAGCATATCAGCAAGCAATATATCAACTACTGTCGTTGGCGGTCACCCTTGGGATCTCCATTATATCTGGATTAATAACTGGTACTTTCAATCGATCTCCACATCATGCATTGTGATAAACGAAAAATCTGAAAAAATTAATTTTTTTTGTTACATAAATCTATAACAGTTTTAATTCTTCATTGCAACTATATTGTATTATACTGATTGTCAGAGAATTGAAAAATTATATACATTTTTCTTGTATTATAAAAATCAAAATAAATTAATTTTTTTACATATCATTGATGACGCTTTGTCATCTCTTGATAATATAACATGTACAAAAAAAAATTTTAGTTATTCTTTATTAATAAATAAGTATAATTCGAACTATTCAGTCAGTCAAGTCTGTTCGAATAGATTTTACTAAGTGTCTGCTACAAATTTATCTCAGCGGAAAGATTACAAATTTAATACAGAATCTATTAATTTCGTTTATGTCGACAGACTGATAGCAGAACTGCAACATAGCCTGCTGACATAATCAATCATCAGATTATATCTTATAAATTTTTTATTAATTTATTTTATCGGATATGATTTGTAACATGCAAAAAAACTGATTTATTTCGATCTATAATGCAAGAGAAATATGGCTGCAATGTAAGATGCTAAAAATAATTAAAAAAAAATATTATTATGTGCTGTTTTTTAATTTTTTTGTTAAAATCATCGGAATCAAAATTTATTAGTTACATTCTTACGTCGTTAATCCTAGGTAACGCTAAGCGCAGCATTTCCCTGCAACTTTTGTGTTTATTTTTGTTTTCTAAAATGCGTCGTTTTGGAAAAATTTGTTTAGAAAAATTAAAATAAATTACTCTGTATATATACATATATACATTTAATTAATAGGCTTACTTCTACGTACGACCATATGCGGTTGGATTACCGATGAACAGAAATTTAACGACCAGTTTGTCTGGGAATTGGAAGAAAACTCCCAGGACGAATCATCCGAGAAAAATCGAGAAGATAGCACTCATGCCAGCAATCAAATAGCAATAGGCCATTTTTAATATATGAATATTTGTGAAATATTTAAGTTTGTACATATATAAGTATTATTATTAAATATTACACATAATAGTATATCTCAATATGTATAGTAAAAATTTCTTATATACTTAATGACTTTCTTTCTAATTCTATATATGTATCTATTTTCCATAAAAGTTTTATTGCAAATAATTGTAGAAATAAACCTATTATTTTACGACATTAATATATATATATATATATATATTTGTCAAATATCAAAATATATATAGTGTAAAATCAATAAAAGAATAGAATAAGTGTTTGATCGATAGGATGTGTTTATCTCATATTTTGTAAAATAGTTTTACACAACAAAAATATTGTTACAAAGCATTTTTTAATTAAAATATACATGTATATATAATATATTTTCTTTGTATTTTAAAATACTAGAATACTAGCGCTACGTGCGCGCCATTTATCTTGTGTGTATGTGTGTATAATTATTTACACATATTAATTCTGGTTCTCCGTTTATACAAAATAAATTAAATAAAAATTACACAAATACTTAATATTTGAACTGTCAAATGCGTCGTTCATGACAGTTATGACAGTTATGACAGACTTTTATTGATATAAAGTAATGCACAGCGCAGCGTCGAAATAACCAATCAGCATCGCAGAAAAAAGGTAACAATACTTGAGAGTATTTATTTAACACACACTTTTAAAAGGATGTCTCAATAAGAGCTGCTCACAGCATATTATTAGAATATTATATGTGTGTGTGTTATATCATAAAATATTATAAAATGCGCCATTTGGTTTTTATAAATAATAATAGACAAAAATAATTAAAAAATCGCGATATTTCTTGCAATATTGAAGCGTAAGAATATTAAGAGTTTCTTTTACATCTCGTGGGATGCTACCCAGAACTCTAAAAAAACCGGAATAGCGAAAAAATTTACCTTTAAAATATTTAAAATTAATTTAAAATATATACTTATATAGAAAATTTAATCTATTAGGGCACGCGAGTAGGGCACCCGAGTAAGGCACGCGATTAGGGTGCGCGATTAAGACACACTCTCCAAAGTGTGATCCCGGATTCTCGCTGGCTTAGCCAGCAAAAATAGGATTGTTAGGACTATTTATTACTGTCTTAACTTAAGATAATCATTTAATATCTTAAGATTCTTAGGAAAAAACTAAAAAGTAGGATTCATTTGAGTAAACCTAAAATGTGAAAATTAATTATTTAGTTTCTATATTATTTATTTTAAAAATATTTATGAACTTAAGAATTTGTTTTCATACCAAAGAATTGTTGATAAATTCGGGAAATTATATTTCAAATTTTATAAATATTACAAGTGTCGCTAATTCTTCTATTTAATAAAAAAATTATTGAATAAAAATGTAAAGATTCGATGTTAAGCTAACGATTAAATATTAGCTTCTCGTTCACGAAATTTAACGACTGCCTTCGACAATGCATAATCGCGAGTAAATTATTCCGAATTTCATGATTTGATTTTGATTTGATTGATATTTATAAATTTCCCAGAATAAATATGGCCAGGATCAACGAAAGGTAGGTCCAACTGGCCCAACGAAAGCAGCATAGTTGATCAATATCGTGGTCAAAGGCGCAAAAATACACATGGGCAATACATGTGTCTTTCTTGTCGGTTCTTGTAAGATCCATCCGCGATGTCTAGTTCGGTGTTCTGTTGAGAATTGGGGATATTCGTTGCAGGATTGGAATTAAACCCAGGTTTTTCTGACGATTTCTGGAAGCAATGGTTTCGGTAGTAACTCAACGACGACTGCCACACGCCTTTTCGAAGTCGAATCAGGAATGTAATATAAATAGTATATTTGAAGAGAAAATTTCTTTCTCTTCGTTAAAAGTGTTCTTCCATCATTATTAATATTAGTATAATTATTGTCTTAATGCTAAAGAAACTTAATAATAGCTTGAACATTAATATAGCTAATGTAAATAGATAATTTTATATTTTTCAAGCAATTTAAAATTGTAATCAATTTACCCGTTTCTATTGACTTTTTTGACACAAAAAATTATGGTTACGAACGAATATATATTATTTAATTTTTAATTAATATAATTTTTGATCTTTTCTGAGAAAATATTTCTAGGTACTGCGGATATTAAGATTATATTTCTTGGTTTCTTTTAAGAAATTATTTGCAGGTATTGGACATCCCGCCATTCTAGGAGCATATCCTGTACAGTTTTTAAATATACCTATTTTATATATATAATAAAATACATGCACAAATTAATATATCATTTCAAAAAACTTTTATACTTTTTTTGAATTTTATGTTATAAAATATTATATATGAATGTAACGTAAAATGTGCGTATACTTTAAAACTTCGAGACAAATCGAATGGGTACCCCGATATCAGTGAAATATCGGCAAATTAATATATTTAAATGCTACAGAAAAAAATTAATTATAGCTTAAAATTATTATAAAATTATGCTTGATATTATTTTAATTTATTTTATATATGTTACATTATATGTTGCGAAGTATCCAAATTAAATTTTTTTTTATTTCGCTGTTATCGGGTTCGATTCGTCTCAAACAGTTGGTACCCGAGAATGATTTGTATTTGCACATTTAACATTAGCTACAATAACCATGCATATATTTTATTATCCATAAATATAGCCGTT